GATAGATATGGATCTATTTTCATTCTTTTACATGTTGGTATCCAGTTGTGCCAGTACCATTTGCCAAATATGCTTTCTTTTTCCCAGTTGATATTTTGTACTTCTTTATCAAAAAGTAGGTGTTCTAAGGTGTGTGGACTAATATCCAGGTCTTCACTTCACTTCCATTGTTCCTCCTGTCTGTTCTTATGCTAATACCAGGCTGTTTTCAATACTGTAACTCTGTAGTAGTGTTTGAAGTCAGGAATTTTGATGCCTCCAGAAGTTCTTTTATTGTACAGTATTATTTTGGCTATTCTTGGTTTTTTTGCTTTTCCATATGAAGTTGAGTACCGTTCTTTTGAGGTCTTTGAAGAATTTTGCTGGGTATTGCATTGAATATGTAGATTGCTTTTGGTAAGATTGCCTATTGTGTTTTTTTTTTTTAAGTACTGTGTCTCATTGTGTATCTTTGGCTGGTCTGGAGCTCATCAGGTAGATCAGGCCAGCCTTGAACTCACAGAGATAATATGCCTTTGCTGTCCAAGTGTTAGGATTAAACACATTTGCCACCAAGACTGGTTCAAAATAATAATTTTCAAATATGACTCCTGAAAGGGACTATAAAACCTGCTTGAATGTTTAATTATAAATGTGAATATCTGAATACAGAAAGTAACCAAAAAGAAAGTTAAAGTATATTTTCTTTTATCCATAAAGAAGAATCTGGCCTAATGGGGAAAAAAGTCAATGTTATGATGTCTAACAATTTTGTTATACTTATAGATTGATGCCTAGTCCAATTCTCATCAGAGAGGTTTCATCCAGCAACTGGTGGATGCAGAAAACCACTGCCAAACATTAGGCCAAGCTCAGGCAATCCTGCTGAAGAGAGTGAGGAAGGATTGTAGGAGCCAGAGGATTCAGCGACATCACAAGAAAATGGCCCATAGAATCACCTAAATTGGGCTCATAGGGACTTATAGAGACTGTACCAACAACCAGGGGGCCTTCATGGGATTGACCTATGCATTCTGCATTTATGTTACAACTGTGTTGTTTGGTCCTTGATGTGGGAGGTGATGTATGCTGTGAATATAGTAATAGAGTAAGAAAAATAAGCCAAGATGGAATATCTCTATCTCTATCTCTATCTCTATCTCTCTATCTATCTATCTATCTATCTATCTATCTATCTATCTATCTATCTATAGAGAGAGAGAAAGAAAGAAAGAAAGAAAAAAAGAAAGAAAGAAAGAAAGAAAGAAAGAAAGAAAGAGAGAAAGTCTGGATTATGTATATAATTTTTTGACTGCAGAAAGACATTTGATTCTGGGGACTGCTAAGCTAAACTAACCTATATACTTCAAATATATCGACTTCAAAATTTGGTTCTAAGGATATATTGCTTTGGAAAAGAGGTTTTACTTTTGTTTCCATAGAGGATGAGAACCTGTGATTCTTTCCAGACTAATGTAGTTTGTTCAAACAAGACCGTCTGAAACAATGGCACAGATGGTCCAACATCCATTACAGCTTCAGGATTGCTGGCTGAGATGGACCTACCACACAGGATACCCTATGACAGACCTGATTAACAATGTCCCCAATCAGCAGGATGTAGTCTAGACAATAACACCCAAATTCCCTAAATGATTATTTATAAATGTTTGTTTACATTTAAAGGGGGATATGCTATAGATATGAATACTTTGCATTGGTATGGGTCTTTGTATATTGATAAAAATTTTAGGTCAATTTTGTTATATACATATTTCTGCTCTTGATTAAGGTATTATGTTTGTATAGCTCATTTAAAAATGTAATGTAAGCCATGTGATGGTGGCGCACACCTTTAATCCCAGCACTCGGGAGGCACAGGCAGGCTGATCTCTGTGAGTTCGAGACCAGCCTGGTCTACAAGAGCTAGTTCCAGGACAGGCTCCAAAGCCACAGAGAAACCCTGTCTTGAAAAATAAAAAAATGTAATGTATAATTAAGATATATAGGTTAATAGATAGTCACCTATAATAGTCAAGTTTGTAATCATGTTAGGTTTTCTAGATATACAGAGATATATTTTAGATGGATAGATATTCTTCAAAACTCTGAAAGATTAACAGAATATGACATTGAAATGTTTTAAAAACTTGAGACTTCATGACAATGTGACACACCTGCTTCTGGCAGCACTAATTACTTAAAGAGGATGTTGGGTATTGAAGGGGCATCTCATGTAGTTTGTTAGGCATTTAGGCAGGAAACTGCTCTTACGTGAACTAATTGATGGTATGCTGTATAAATTGGACATACAGAACCCAAGAAAAATTACTGCTGAACTTGCCTAAAGGTGAGGTGATCCTTTGGTGTTCCTGCTTCATGAAAGAATCTTCCAGGCATTCTTCAGGACACAGAAGAAAGCAACAGGTGAACTTTGCCAACACAAGGCATAAGAGACCTTCAAATTTTCTGCTTCACAGAAAAGTCTGCTGGATACTATGGGCCTGTAGGCTAAATATGGGTGCCCCAATGTTACAAAAGAAGTTTGGGTGACTGTCCAGGCAATGAGATGTCTCTGTATATTCTAGAGTTTTGAAGTTGTTTACAATGAACTTATTGTTTACTTAGGTAATATTATATCCTTCTGGAGTCTTTGATGGAGTTGAAGAATAGGTAGTTAAAATTATAGTTTTCCTTAGTTATGATAAAAGATAAAGTAGATATAAATATTGTAATTTTAATTCTTGCTTGGTACCTGTTTTGTTATATGGAATCTTGTTATTCTCAAGGCAAAATCTTCCTTTTTATTTAGACAGAAAAGGGGAGGTGATGTATGCTGTGAATATCTTTTATTGCCATTGTTTAATAAAGAAGCTTCTTTCGGCCAATGGCTTAACAGAACAAAGTCAAGCTGAAAGAGATACATAGAGAGAATAGGCAGAGTCAGTGAAAAGCCATGTAGCCACCTGCTAGAGACAGATGCCCTGGAATCTTACCTGTAATCCACAGCCACGTGACGATATACAGATTAATGGAGATGGGTTAGTTTAGGATAGAAGAGCTAGCTAAAAAATATGCTTAAAATTTTGGCTAACCCATATTGCAAATAATATAGTTTCTGTGTGATTATTTTGGTTCTGAGCAGCAGGGAATGAACAAGAAGCCTCCCATAACAGGTCCTCTTGTGGGAATCTTAACAGCAGGGACAGGGGCTGTCTCCATCTCTTATCCTGACATACTGGGTCCCCTTGTTCAACCTTAATACATTGGGAGGTGCTGAGTATTACCTCAACTTGATCTGCCGTGTTTTATTGGTACTCATGGGAGACCTACCCATGACAGAGACAGAGGAGGAGGGTATTGGCGTGTAGGAAGAGAAGAGAGGTGGAGGAAGGGACTGAGAGGAGAGGAGGGATGGGAAACTTCGACAGGGTTGTAAAACAAGCAAAAATAGATAAAGATTGTACTAAATTGTTTGACTTTAATATCAATGCATCTCTATGGTAACAATCAATAAAACTGTTCATATCAACAGAATCAAGATCAAGCCTCACAGGGAGCCAATGCTAGGAACAGTGTCTGAGAAACAAGGTGACAGTGTCAGCACTAGCCCCAGGGAACTCACTGGTTTTGAACAGGTTGACTGAGGACCATCCATGGTCAGTGTGATCCTCCTGTATCTCTCGGTTACCTCCCTAGACCACGCAGGCTCATACAAATACTACCTTTGGAGAAAACCTCTAGACCCCACTCAGGACAGACTCCTCCCAGCTTTAAGGGACCCCTAGGTATTATTGAAGTGGGGAGATGCAGGCTTGATGCTGTTCCCCAAAGAGTACGGATGTAGATAATGTTCCTCTGAGCATAGAGTACACAGGAGGTTCAGCTAAAGGAGTCTGGAACAACTGGGGAGCGATTTGGGCAGCATGAACCCCTCTCATCTGGCCTCTGGGTCAGACTGTTTGGCATGGTGGGACTGCGCCATCCCTGCTGAAAATAACTGTTAAAAACAAGTGCCAATTTTCCAGCTGGGCTAACAACAGCTCAGTGACGCAGTGGACAAGGCAAGGGGGCTGCTCTGAGCTCAATCTCTATCTTCAGCACCGACAATTTTCTACATCAACTTACCTTCCCACACACGAAGCATCAGAGGATAGCTATTAAAAGCAAGACATTTTTTCTCGCTCATTACAGCCTGCGCAACAAAATGTCCAGAGATGCAAGGAGTCCTGTTTTCACCATTACTGTAGAAACCATTTCGGGCGGCTTTGGAAGAAAACGCAATTATTTTCCTTTCTGTCAGTGTTCCCACACTCACCTAGAGATGAGAGCACCCTATTAAAATGGACTCATCATCTTCTGAGTGAGGCCAGTGATGACCTTTTCTGACCTGTGGGTGGGAGGCTGGTCCTTGAGTCCTCATGATGAGAAGACAGGGTCACCAGGGACACAGGTAAAATTAGACAGCACTGAGTCACTGCCATGTTCATGATCTTTGCAGGAAAAGAAAACTTTGCAGAGAAGAAAGTAAATGCGTCAGGCAGAGCCCATCCCTTTCACCAGTGCCCAGAACCCATGTGGTCCTGATTGCCATGGGTCCCTTTGCCTGGTCCACTCCTGGACAGTTCCCATGCCCTTTGGGTCTGGGGTACCTCATAAACTAGATCTGCCTAGCAGCAGAGCTTGCCCAGAAAGACATCCTTAGCTCTACCACACTGATGCTGAAATCGTGGCCTAAGAGCAAAGTCCTCAGCCAGCGTGGCTCTGAAACAGCACTGGTGTTGGTGGCAGCTTGCCATCCTGCATATTTCACTAGATTGTTCTTGCCAGCGACTGCCAAGCCTCGTTGCTTGAACCAAGCCCACCTTCTCTCTGTTCTCAAGAAAACTAGGTAAGTAGTGTTGTTTACTCAGAGCAACTCTCTCCTGAACTCCCTATCAGCATTCGAACATGATGCATCAATACAATCTGGCATCATGAGCCTCCTAAGATGGATCTCCAGAAGAGATGATGAGCTCAAACATGAGCCCCACCTTAAACACACACACACACACACACACACACACACACACACACACAGAGAGAGAGAGAGAGAGAGAGAGAGAGAGAGAGAGAGAGAGAGAGAGAGAGAGAAGAGAGTGAGAGTGAGAAACACAGAGAGAGTTTGTTTTCTTTTGGTTAACCACTTTTCATCAACCCAGCCACTGACAGATTTCACTAGACCCAGTATTCTAAAAATGCATCCATCAACTCTGGCATCCCTGGAATTGGAGAAGAGTATAAGGGATGATAATGAGAAAAACCCAGATATTATAAGTCTCAGATAAACAATTGTCCACCAGACCAACAAGGCAAGTCTGAACTCTAGAATGATGGCTCTTGTTTTTTGTCTCACTCTGGTCATTGGGACACAATGCAAGGTAGTGTTTTTGGGAGTTAGCCTGTTGTCTTCGTGGAATACAGCACAACCTAGAGGCTTTATTTCTGCTTCTGCTCATTGACTTTTGCCATGTCAGGCATCACAAGTACTGGTATTACTGCTGGCATGTTACCATAGCAATGTGTTTTCTCACTTATGAAAAAAATTTGTTCGTGACATAAAAGTTGTTTCAAAGCATACACTGCTGTGCAATTTTTTTGCTCTTTTGTACTGTGTGGTATAGGCTGAAGATAAAGTGGATGTTAAGAGTAAAGCCTAGATAAGGGATAATTTCTAGGAGCATGGACAACTTACTAGTGCCTCTACTAAAGAGAAATATCTCTTCCTCTTCGAGCAACTATTAATGCCTATATGTCTTCAGAGATGGATGGAACTTGATAAGAGCTATCCTTATCTTCCATGAAAGACTGTTGGTGGCTTGAATTTTATTAAGTTAATGATATCTGCTTCTATTTCAATAGTTTGGTAGCCCTGTCTTGCCTGAAAATCTTCCTCAAAATTCCAACTTTTGCTTATGTTCTTTCATTATTTCTGCCCTCTTTTCCACATATTGTTCCCAAAGCCTAGTGGAGTTGATTGCTGGAGATGCCTCAGTTATAGCTGAATGTGCAGCAGTCACTTATTCTCAATGCTGATTGATTTCTGAGTTCTGTGTTATGTCTCACTAGTTACTATAATGCAATCATTCATAAGGCGCATAAAAAGTATAACCTATATAGCACAAGACATGACCAGTCTTACATTTTCAAAACTATTGTTCAAGGACTAATCTGTTCCCCAAAGATAATCTCTGCTATGATATAGATACTGTGGAAACTAAAATTGCTGAGTGCTTTGAGAAAAGATTTCTTTAGCACAACTGCTATTGAATGTCTAAGTTTTGAACTAATAGTATATTGCGAAATATAAATCTGTATAAATATCAGTCCATTGGCTTGAGATCCTCCATGGAAGTGATGTGCATGCACTCTGTGCTTACTAGTGTTCCATAGTTATGAACAGTTGCAGAAGCAAGTAAAGTAATAAATATTTGGAGCACATAAGTTGCATGAAATACATGGGAAAAAATTCACAACTGAAAACCAAGTATGAAAGACCCTTTTATGAGCAGAAACAGTAAATAAACAGTGCATCTATACAGCAAAAGATAGAAGATATTGCAGTTGGTGTCTTGACTAATGTTTTGGACTGTTAAGAACAATATGTCATTACAACTGACTTTATCATAGGCACAAAGAATGACAAAGACATTAAACCACTGGGAAAACCTATATAGAAACTTCATGTTATATACTTAGCAAAGGTGTGATTTTAAAATATAGGTAATAGGAGAATATATTCATATATATTCTTGGATGCTGTTCACATCCAAGAGAGCTATTAAAACTGAAGGAATAAATTTCGAACATTTTTTTATATCTGACTAAATGCATTGAACAGTCTCTTTCTATATGCCTAAAATGGTTTGTTCTGGACAGCAGCTGAGAAGTGGTCTTTTTGTAGTTTTTAAGGTAGCTATATTTCAAAAAGAAGAATTATTGTGGAAGAAATATCTGGGATGAAAAAAATCAGTATTGATCAAATGAAATTCTATCTAAATGTATGAAATGCTATCAAATTGTAAGAATCAAGGTTAATGAGGTCAGGGTTACCATCAAGCAGCATCTTAAAAAATGATAAGTAGGAATACTTCGTAACATTAAAGAAAATTCAAAAATTAAATATTGGTTAATAATAGTTACATTTAAGGATAAGCAATCAAAAATTAAGGAAGCTTAAATATATAAATAATAATGAAAAAAATTTAAAGAGAACCAAATTGTCAGTGAATTTTTCACCATGACTAAATAAATCTATAGAAATGAACATTGTCACAATTTTTTTATCTAAAGTCTAATATATAGTTTGACTGAAGTTAAAATAATGAAAAAAGCACCATACAAATACTAATGATAATAAAAATGATAGTTTGATATGGGATTCTCCTCTGTATGCTTTGATTACTATTGATTAATAAAGAAACTGCTTTGGGCCTATAGCAGGGGAGAAAAGAGCTAGGCAGGGAAAACTATACTGAATGCTGGGAGAAAGAAGATGGAGCCTTGAGATGCCATGTAGCCCTGTCAGAGATAGACACAAGACAGAACCTTGCTGGTAAGCCAAAGCCACATGGCAATACAGATTAATAGAAATGGGTTAAATTAAGATGTAATAGCTAGCCAGTAAGAAGCTAGAGCTAATGGGCCAAGCAGTGATTTAAACAAACACAGTTTCTGTGTGATTATTTTGGGTCTGAGCTGCTGGGAACAAACAAGCAGACACCTACAACAATAGTTCATTTATATTACAATTTTAAAATTAATGTTTTGGACAAAATAAAAAAAACTCAAATCAAAATAACCAGCAATCAAAAGACATCAAAAGTAATGAAATAAAAAAAATCATCACAGGAGATAGAAAATAGATCCTCATAACAGAATTATTTAGTGAAACAAAACAGCTGATAACATTGCATACTTATGGAATTAAGAAAAAATTTCAAAATACTGGAAATGTAAGCATATATGGCTGGGCATCATGGCATACAACTTCAGTTTCAGGATTCCAAGAATATGTCAATCGCAGGAAAGTCTTAGTTGATGGACTTGTTTATAATAAGTTGGCATTCAGATGTACAGATTACCTTAGATTTCCCAGGAAGCTACCCTAGGAGGACCATGGTCTTAAGGACAGTATGGGCAAGTCATCACTACAAAATAAAGCCCTATGTCAAAAAAGAAAAGAAGGAAAGCAAAGCAAAGCAAAGATAAGGGAAAAAAATAAAGAAAAAAAGAAAAGGAAAGAAGGGACTTTAGATTTTGAGATGTGTAGGTTAGCTCAGTGTGCACAGGACTACAGTAAAAATTTCAAAGTTTAAATTTACTGTAGAGTACAAAGTGTTCTCTTCTATCTCTTTTGATTGATTTTAGTTTGAAGTCTGTTTTGTTAGATATTAGGATAGCTACACCCACTTATTTCTTAGGTGAATTTGATTGGAAAATTTTTCTCCAACCCTTCACCCTAAGGTATGTCTGTCTTTGAGGTTGAGGTGTGTTTCTTGTATAAAGCAAAAGGATGGATCCTGCTTTCATATCCAGTCTCTTAGCCTGTGTCTTTTTATAGGTGAATTGAGTTCATTGATACTAAGATACATTAATGACCAGTGGTTGTTAATTCCTGCTATTTTTTGGTGGCAGTGTCTGTGTGTTTTCTTTCTTTGGGGTTTGCTGGTGTGAGGTTATCTTTTGCCTGTCTTTTTGTGGATGTAGTTAGCTTCCTTGGTTGAAGATTTTCTTCTAGCACTTTCTGTAGGGCTGGATTTGTGTGTAGGTATTGCTTCAATCTGGTTTTGTCATATAATATCTTGTTTTCTCCCTTGATTGTGATAGAAAGCTTTGCTGGTTACTAGTAGGAGCTTACCAACTCTGGCCTCACAGAGAAGAAAACAGCATATAACCAAACTAGTCCCTCTGAATGTGGTTGACAGTTGTATGACTGGGGCAGACTGTTGGGCCACTGGTAGTGGCACCAGGATTTATCCCTATTGTTTGTACTGGCTTTTTAGAAACCTGTTCTCTTGGGATTCCTTGCTCAGCTCATGATATAGTAGTAGTGCCTTGGACCTTCCTCAAAGCAATGTGCCTTATCCTTTCTGAGGAGTGGATAGTGGGGGCTGCGGGGGGGTGGGGAAGGTGGAGAGAATGGGAGGAGAGGAGGGAGTGGGAACGGGGATTGGTATGTAAAATGGAAAAAGATAATCTTTTTTTTTAAAAAAATCGAAAAAAGTGAAAAAATAAATTTATTGTAGAACTCAGAAAACATGACATTTTACAAGTGAAATTTCAACACAATTTGTCTTCATTATTGGCAGACCATTCCAGCAAAATTAATCATTTGTGATTTAGAAAATGCAATTAACAAGCACTAATGGACATAAATTGAATTCTGCAGACAACCACCAGAGAATACTAATTATTTTCATGCATACTTGGGACATTTGCAAATATTGATTATGCTAAAGGGTACAGGAAGTCAAGTTTGCAGAGAATTGGTATCTAAACCATAATTAAGTTAAATGTTAATAATTAAAAAGACAAAATTTAAATTTCTTCCCTTTGAAAATAGAAAAGCCAAACTTTAATTCAAGTAATATTTTAAAAAGTAGCAACAGATATTTAGAAGTGGGAATAACTAAGT